CTTTGACCCAGTCTGACTCAGTAAAGCTTCATATGGTGAAATGGGAAATATTTGATGTTAAAGTTGTGTTGGGGAATCAGATCTTTATGTCCTCTTTTTTCAGACACATGAGTAAACTATCTTGTTTGAATGTTTCAGCTCAATTTCACATGACTGATGAAGGTTCAAGGTCTCCAAATCCTCAGAATAATACTGCAGTTAATGTGGGAAATAAATACAAAGATCTACTGGTGACATTAGAGAATGGAGTGCTGATCCTATAGATGAATGGGCTGGCAAAATATAACACCTTAACCTGGGAGGTATGTCTTAACTAATTTATTAATTTTTTAATCATAATTTATAAGCAGAAACATAAGCAGACTAGCCCAGTTCAACTTCAAGCTGGCTTGAATGGAAGCCTGCAAAAACAATATAAATATAACAAAATATATTTAGAAACATAAAATACAAAAATGACCCTACAACACAAATTACAACACAAACATACAAAATAAAATATGTTACATTTGAAAAGTATAATAGAAGTTACATTTCTACGCTTTATGTACGAGGTAGACTATTTTTATTGTTGTAGTGCTGTGCTAGTCTGTGGTGTAGGATGAACATGATTATAATTATTTGTTTTCATCTTTGAAAGATGTATCAAGAATTAATGATGGCTTTGGAAGAAGCTGGAAAACATGATGCTTGTGTGGTTGCTGTGTTGACTGGATCTGGAAATTATTACTGCAGTGGAAATGATCTGAGAAACTTCACCAGAATTCCACCTGAGGGTCCTCAAGAGATGGCAAATGATGTGCAGGAAATAATCAAGTATATGAGCAATTCAGTGTCTGTTCTTGTATCACATATTTCCCATCTGTTTATTGATTCGTGTGGGCTACTAGTGTTCGCCAGAAGCACAGGGATTGCCATTCCCCGAGACAAAGACAAAGCAATCAAACACCTGTCTTGATCTGAATTTGATGTTTATCTTCACCAGCAATGATTTTTTCTGGCTGGTTTCCAAATCTATGGAGAACACAGGGTTACATGGATACCCAATAGTTAGCATGTTGGACTCTAAACTGAGCACAGTATGATTATGAAGATGATAACCAATTTACTACTTGCAAGTTTCAATCTGTTTTACCAACCACAGGAAACTTTAAATAGTGCACAAAAGAAATCAACCCACCTTCAGTTATCAAATTTCATTTCAGTGAAATAGATCAAAGCAAACATAATCCTTATGCTAGAACTGTATAATTTATCAGCTGATGTCCACTGATGAAAAGTCCATTGAATTCCTAAAGAGTCTTGGCAATTAATTGATGGATGTCCAGAAAACTGCTGCTGTAAAACTTTTCAGTTACAGGGTTCTCATTAAGTGCTGGCTGCCGGCTAAAAAACCGGCTACCATAAATTTAGAGCTGTGTACTTTTCGGTGACAATCTTGCCTCCTTATTTTGTATCTACACGTAGATTTCAAAGTTAAAAATTGCGTGAATCGAACGAGTAATACTTGAAAGCCGTTTTCAGCAGCAAAACACAATGCCAATGCACACCTTCTACCTTCTGCGAAATTCTGCTGACTGGTGTTTGTTGTCAACAAGTGCGGTGTGGTGTTCGGTGTGTTAGAAGAAAGCATTAAATGGCGTTCGGCGTGTTAGAAGAAGGCCTGAAATGTTAGTATGTAATTAATTATAGAGTACCCATGAGTAAAAGAAAACCCACTTCAAGCCAGCCTGGAATTGATCGATATTTCTGAAAATCACGAAGAACAGAAAGCCAGGTAGATGAAGGTGAGAAAACTACTGCCCTTTTTGGGGTGTAGTCTGGTCCCATTATTAGGATTCCAAGAAAAGAAAGATGTTCAGTAAAATTTATGGTTGTCTCTAATAAAAAAATTATTTCTTAAAGCCACATTTGTTTGCCAAAAGGCTCAAAATGGCAAATCTAACCTTCTATATTTTGAACTTTTTTGGAGGGGGGGAGGGGAGGGGGCATGCTGCCAGACCCCCTTAGAGGCTCATGCCTGTGGTACTCGCTTCTCCTGCCGCCTACTTTTATGTTTCAGCCGTCTACATCAAAACTTATTGAGAACCCTGAGTTAAGGACCAGTTGATGTTAAAAATGGATAGAAGGTACTAGGATCCAAACTCATCACTGATAGCCTCAAAACATCAAGTCAGGAAGCTGGAGTGCCTGAAAGTGAACAAAAAATTTATGCTGGGGGAGACTAAAGTTCATTACTTTGTCATCCACTGGTTGCTTTATCAAAATAGACGCCTTAACCATCCATATAGGAATTGTTTTCTCTACAACAACTTTGATTAAAATAACTGTGAAATTAGACCTTCATTGACTTCTGTCCAAGTAATTCATATTTACTTTAGTCTCTGACCCTCCTTGTACATGCTAATCAAGTGGTTCTTTTTATATTCCACTGTGGCAGGAACTTTGTGCAACACTTCATAGACTTTCCCAAGCCTCTGATTGCTGCAGTCAATGGACCTGCTGTGGGGATATCAGTAACAGTCATGGGCCTCTTTGACTTGATCTATGCATCAAGTAAAGCTACATTTCACACACCTTGGGAAAAAGCCTTGAAGGACGCTCCTCATTTATGTTCCTTAGGATAATGGGTCCTGCAAAGGTACCAATCCAGCTGCTTCTTATAAATTTCCATTGAAACTTTTGTGTGATACCCGTGCACATGCAAGCATTTTTCAATGTCTTGTCACGATTTGTAAAATTACACCATCCACGAATTGTTCTTCTTTTTTAGTCCAATGAAATGATGCTTGCTGGACGCAAACTGACAGCAGTTGAAGTAAGAGACTGTGGATTGGTTACAGATGTTTTCCCCCATGACAAGTTCACAGAGGAAGTTCAGAACAGAGTACAAGCAATGGCCAAGCTGCCCCCCTAGGTAGAAAATTGTATTGTAGCATTTCACAACAGGGGACTCTCTACCATGGAGTCTTTAGCATTTGCAGACATGCTATTCAAGGGAGGGTAGATTGTGGGTAAGGGGGTTATTTGTCATCTGTTACGGATAATATCAACCATGTGTCATGCCAATAAATTAGAGAAGCCTGACCATGAAAACTGCAGTGTTCTCATGTGTAGTCCCCTCAGCCTGACAAGAAATAAATGGCATTCTGCTTTACTGAAGTTTTGTTGTCACATATAATCATTATGAATAAAGGAGAGGAGTTTCCCACATCGTACTTTTAATATCAATACATAATATGATCATTTATATTGAACTGTAGATGGTAGGGGCCTTGAGTTATGCATTATTTGTAGATGACCAATCAATGTTTTTATACTGTTAATCAAAAAGTGATCCGCTGTCTTTTTTTTTTTTTTTACTCTATAGTCTTTGCTGTTGTCCAAGCAGTTGATACGTGATTCATTCCGCGATTTGTTACATGAAGCCAACGAAAAGGAGTGTGCATTACTTGAAGAACGCTGGCTTTCAGAAGAGTGTAATTGCAGGCTCTTATGGCCTTCATGCAGAGGAAATCCAAATTGTAGCCCAGCTTTAATTTTCCTTGCCGCATTTAAATTAAGGCTTTAACTCAACCACGATGAACTGCACAGCTTAAAGTTTCAGTCGATTCACGGCGGTTTTTGTTTCAGGGGAGGTAGGGGAGTCACCTGAGCGAAACGGCTACGAGGGAGACACGTGAAGCAAAGCGTGATGAAAGTCTGAGACATTTATTACATTAGCTGATGTCAACGATTTATCAAATGTTTAATTCGCTCTTCGCAAATTATTCAATCGCTAATCAGTTCAGTCACTGAAAAGTAATCAAATACAATTATGAAAAACTGAAAACTGTCGGCCTTCTTACCATGTCTTTATTATGGCCATTGCCACGGACACAGGGCTAGCTCGCCTGTTTGGTTAGGTGTTAATGTTCTACGGTCAGCCAGACTGGGAACGGCGTTCTCTAATCAGCGTAAAGCGGCCTGTACAACACCTTCTATCGGCACATTAGGGAAATGGATTCTACGAGAGAAACCATGATTTCTTTGTCCCGTATTTTGTGGTGGTTACTAATGGACACTGAATGAGTAGAGTTAGTGTAATCCGAATTACCCGTCAGTCAAGACAGGAAGTCAGCTAAATAAGCAGATCGTAAACGAAGGTGATTTCAAATGATACAGTGGGTCTTCGTGGTGCCTCGGTTTATTGTACATTAGGTTATTCGTGGCTCTTAGAAAGCTGTTTGTGTTTAAGTCTGATCTTATTACAAATAGTTTCCGATAGGTGACCACTTCGTTTTTGGTTGAGCACGTGGGTTGGTGAGTTTTCGGCT